CGTCGCCTTTCAAATTTAAAAATAAATTTCAGTCGAGTACTTCAATAAACATAGTCGACTTTTTTTCTGTAAAAATATACAATAGTTTGAACTTCTTTATAAAGTTTTTTTCTTTCTTTTTCTATAGTTTTACAAAAATTTTCCAATATTCTCTAAAAGCAAAAAATATTGTCTGTTATATTTTGAAACGATATTTTGCACGCATTTAATTTTTTTTTGACGCTCATCTACAATAAATGCAGCGTGGTTATAATAAATTTGTATTGCAACTGCTATAACAATTAATGTTCCTGAAAATAATTTGTGAAAATTCAATTTTAATTTTTAAGACAAATTAATATTCATATATATATATAATATTTTGCACATGATTTTGAAAAATTTTATCTATTCTAAATTAATAGAATCAAATTCTGTTTCAATTCACTCGAAACTCGACAAGGCTGTTTTTTTTTTTCCCCAGAAGTGGCACTTATTTTGTTACGTACGAGGACCTTGAAACACTTGCGCGGCACATAATAACTATATATCATCAAACACGACACCCTTAAACTTGTATTAATATATAATTATAAATAAAATATATGTTATAAGATAAGATAGATTTTAATGAAAGTTTATTGAAATATAATATTTATCTAATAAGAATATGAATTTTATGGTTATTTTCTGGATATGCCATAGGAAATACGTTGAAATGCATAGTTTTTTTAAATATTTATTTTCTTTATGGTTTTAAATCACACACAGACGCACGATCTCCCCCCCCCCCACCCTCTCTCTGTCACACTTCCTGTCTCTCTCTGTCTTATTCTCATTCAATTATTTTGCATAGTTCTAAATTAAATATAAAAAAATTATTTCGCAATAAAGTAAAAAACTATTTTTTGCATTAAGAATAGAAAATATTAGATACATTAAAATTGAGATTTTTTAATTGTTTTATTTCTACATCTCCATCACATTATAGCTCTAAAAATCTTATACTCTCTATATTCGATATATCAAATGAAAATCATAAATCTCTATATATTTAATTTCATATTACAAAAAATATATTCCATTTTTCTCTCAAACTGTATTATATAATAAAAACTGTAAAAATTTAGTTAATGAAACATCATATTCGAAAAACTCTAAATAGAGAAAATATAAATATATGGAATTCATTTATTTGCACAAATAACAATAAAATGTGTATTAATATAAAATTCATTGTGTAATCAAAATTTATTATACGATATAATGTAAACTTATCGTTCCTGAAAATGCAAAATATATGTATATGGAGATATAAAAATAATAATATGACTAACATAAATATATGTATTTTTTTCAAATATATGTATACACATTAATAGCTAATATATCTATTGAATAAACTTAATTTATTACACTAGGCTCGTACCTTCGTTTCTCTCTCACTCTCTCTCTCTCTCTCTCTCTCTCTCTCTTTCTCTCTTCCTCTCTCTCTACATATGTACATATGCTTATATATGTGTATATATATATATATATATACACACGCGTACATATATACGTATACATCTATAAATTTGTATATATATATATATTCATTGGAATTTACAATACAATCTCCCACACAACCGTATATTGTTTTCGTCTCTGGAACTCTACATTTCTATGACGATAATTTTTATAACCAGACATACACACTTTTTAACTTTTTTTTCTTTAACATATATATATATATATATATATATATATATATTTCTTCCCATCCTATTTTTGTCGTTTATTATATAATAACTCCGTGTAAGTGCTAACAATAATTTTCTGATTATAAGTAGTTTAATAAAGGAAAATAAGACGTTACATACAATGTGGAAATGTTAAAAGAGAAAAAGAAAATATACATAATTGTATGTAATAATATTTTAATAAATATATATACCTTGTTAATGTAAAACATATTTATGTTTTACTATTTTCTTCATTATACAATAATTAATTATTACACTTTGTCTTTTTTTTTTGCCACTTTTTAAATGCTCGCAAGTTGCATCCGTATACACATATATATTATATACTCGAATTGCACTCCATGGGACAATTTCGTACACAAGTTCTTTTCTTTCATAATAATAAACAATGACTATTAACGATGTAACTATTTATTTTTCTTTATACATGCATAAAATATTATGTTTAATGAAATAAAATAAAACGCTACTGCCTAATTGGATGTAGCAATATTAATATTTTATTTGCTTGAAAAAGATTTTATCTTTTTCAAATTAATTAGATGAAAATTGAGTAACATAACATTTGCTTTTGAACTTGTCAAAAAATTTCATAAACATAAATAAATATTTAGTAGCAAGTATATTATATATGGAGTTTAATATATAAAAGAAAGTACTTAGTTACAACGCTTAAGTCGAATCAGCAAAACTTAAAAGAAAACTAATATTTAACGATCAACATGCCACTTGATTACTTAGGAAATGTTTCCCATATTCATATAATATCATAACTACATACAATTCTTTTCGCGAAAAAGAAAATGATCGTTAAATCGTAATAACATTCGTACTCTATAAAACAAAAACATTACTAAATAATGATTATCATTCATTATCAAAGCAATATCAGCCTGAATTAACATGATTTTGAATATTTCGTTACGTATTTAAAAAAAAAAAAAAAAAAAAAAAAAAAATAGATCACAAAATGCATGATATAATATTAATTGAACGCCAGTTTTAACGTCATTCCAAAAATTCTGCTGTATAATTCAATTTTTCATTTGCCAAGAAAAACAATATACATGATACAGTATTATATATATATATATATATATATATATATATATATATATATATATATATATATATATATATATATATATATATATATATATATATATATATATATATATATATATATATATATATATATATATATATATATATATATATATATATATATATATATATATATATATATATATATATATATATATATATATATATCGAAAGTACTATTAGAATGGAAATTATTAAGAAATATTCCATAACTCAAAAGAAAATTTTTTTTATTAATATTATACGCTATAATTTTTATATAATTAAATCGAGACAAAAACAGTAGTCGATACTACATTCTTTATATTGATATATATAATGTTTTTCTTGGCGCAGAAGTTACAAATATCTCAATAGAGCAATTTCAAAGTTGTATGCACTGCATAGGTTAAATTTCTACACACACACACACACACGCACGCACGCACGCACGCACGCACACACACACACACATATATAAATATAAAAGAAAAGAAAAGAAAATGTAAAAATGTTTTCGAAACTAGTGAATTAAACGATTATAATAACATGAAGGTACTGCATTATTGACAGTTACATAAAAATCAAGCGATTTTCAGCATATGAAAATGTTATTAATCACGAAATATTGTCTTTTCTAAGACTGTTATAGACATAGAGAGTACAGTTTTTAGAGAATCATAAATTGTTACTTTATGCAATTTTGAAAATCAATATATACGAAAAGTGTTTGATGCATTTTTATAATTAATAAGTAGAAAAATATGAAAACAATCGCTTTCTTATTTAAAGTAACCGTGTCACTAAAGCAGCACTTCAAAACTATATACATTAAAGTACGACACATAAAATGAAGGTACAAAAAAATTTATAGGGATCACGTGATCATGAATAGTTCGCTTATATAATGTTACAACATAATTTATTAATGGAGTCGGAGCAACGTGACACTTATCAACACGGCATGGAATCCTTAAAATCATCTTTCTTTCTATACACATACGCGTGAGTATTAGTGGTCATTTTATACTCATTTATAACGTGTTATAATTAACCACCTAATTAGGTATATCGAAACAGTACAATGAAAGAACGAACAATTAACAATAAGTAAACCATACACTAATTAGTATTTTTCATTAATTTTGCTGATTTTTCATCAGCCCTAGAGTTTATTAATCATACGCATCGCAATTATGTAGTCGCTAACATTTTAAAGATTACGTTATATTTAATACTTCAACAAAGATTATCTCGGTTAACGTGCTGCTCACCCTTTATCGCAAAATAATTATAATGACAATGATGAGGATGATGGTGGCCATGAGCATGAGAATGAGAATGAAGATACAACGATGACAACGACCATTATAATCATGATGATATTAATGCTAATTAATGGTCGTGTTGGTGGTGGTGGTGGTGGTGGTGGTGGTGATGGTGATTGTGATGAATAGTTGTGATGATGGCTCTTGTTGTCGTAATTATTATGATAAAGACGACAGCAGAGACGATAACAATAATGATAATGAAGAATACGGGTGATTGTTATAATAGCGAAACAAAAAGAAGAAGAAGAAGAGAAAAAAAAAACAAAAAACAAAATACGAATGATATTAATGTTGATGGACTAATAATAGAAATATTGATAATTTTAAGAATAATAGTGTGAATAATATTTTTAAAAAAACTTATGAAAGCAAATGTACAATTATTCGATCGCATTGAGTGTGTGTTTGAACGTTAGTCGTTTGAAGAAAAAGAAGTATTTTCCACTGCCTATTATAATAATTTTCATAATAAAAATAGGACGACATAATGTATTTGTATCTGCTTTGAAAATCTGATATATTAAAATGCAGTTTATTCAATTTAAATATTATTTAAAGAAACTACTATTGCGTAGCTCTTCTCGATAATGCTAACAATAATCGTATCAAAGCTTTTCTTATTCTTGTGATGATGATTTTCTATCTTGTCATTTGTTGAACATAACGCAAATGTAAATGCGAGTCCAGGTAATTTTTCTTTTTTAACAAATGTTCAATGTAAGTGTAAAGCAAAAAATATAATACATTTTCGCCTTATGGGTGAGTGAAAATCCGAGAAGGGGGGAAACGCATGAAGTAAAGTAAAAGAAGCCATAGCGTTATACATCTTGGTAATATAGGCATTATTACATTATTTACAAAATTGGTGCTTCGACTCTTCCTTATTTCCAATTAAATTCCTGAAAAAAGAGAAATAATATTTGTATTATTATATTCGATTGTAGATATTTTAAAGGATATAAAAATAGCTAACCTTTCTTTCACCGAACATACGAATGAATTTGAAATTTGAATTCATATTCGGAATATTTATATTATGGAATTTACTTTAATAATACTTATAACGAATCAAATATTTTTAATATAAATCATAATAATAATTTAGCCCCTCGAATTATTATACAATAATAAAATACGTAAAGAAAAATTAATAATTGATAATAAATAATAGCTGCAAACACTAAAGTATTATACGATTTAAAAATTGACAAATTATAAATAACTGGAAGCATGAATAAAAATTGTTGAATATAATATTTAGAACTTACTTAATTATGTAAAAACCTTTCCTTCTCTATGATAATATTAATCGACATTATTTGTGATTATAAAACCTTGGCCTATTAACTTGAAACTTTGATTTATTTTTAAAAGCAGTAACAATTAAAATACTGCAGATTGATATAATTAAATGCAAAATTTCAATTATTTATAAACGAAATTAAATTAAATTAAATTAAATTAAGTTAAATTAAACGCTTCCAAATCCTGTTAATTGTTATCAAACAAAACTATGAATAATGCGTTGAAAAATTGAAGAATATAGCGAGCGCTTTTTAATATACAGTATTATTTGCTTAGCACGTAGATTCCTAAGATTTTAAATTGTTAAAGTCGTCCTCTGTGTTTATTTTTAATTATGAATTATGTGCGTTATAAGAATTTTGGTTAGTATGTGATTTTAGCATCGAGGAAAAATTGTGAACGGCAAAAAAACCATACATTACACATCAGCTTTTATCGTATTAGTTTTCATGCTGTAAACTTTGCTATTTCTCGCGATTAAGTGCACTTACAATAAATAGTGTAAACGTACAGCTTCTAACTATCCCGTAGAACAACCATTGATAAGACGGACGGACGGGCCACTGTGCTTCAAAATTTCTATCAAAATAATCAAAAATTCCGTACGTTCAATCTGATCTCTTAATTAATGTTATAGAATGATAACGTGTACGGAACGTTGAACCACTTTGTCGATGGATTGATTATTCCATTAACTACTCAATGTTCTATCTTATATATTTTCCTTTCCTCGTCGCATTCCTTGCACCAATATGCAAATTTTATATACAAATATACGAGGAAAAAAAAAAAAAAAAAAAAAAAAAAAAAAAAAAAAAAAAAAAAAAAAAAAAAGAAGATAGTGTACAGAATAACTAATGCAGGTTGGTTGCCGGTGTATCAAAGTGACACGGCTGGCTAACCCTTGGCCCCCATCTACGCCAAACTCCCAATTATAAGAAAATCTCGTAACTAATAACCCTCCGGCGCTATTAACACAATAATGGATATATTGGATAATTGAGGAGGGGCAGCCACTCGGTAATGGTCGCGCTCCATCCTGCCAACGCGAAATCTCTCGGTATACCTAGGCAGCTCACAGTGCACCGAATGGGTCGAGCTGCACCTGGTTGCCCTGGGGCGGCTGCTGGGGCTGCGGCTGCTGCTGTATCGGCACCCCGGCCATCATGGGGGCGGCCGGCTGTCCACCGGCGGTCACCGGCGCCCCGGGCATCATCATACCCCCGGGCGCAGCTGCCGCGCCCATCATCGGTCTCACGCCCTGCATGCCCTGCATGCCCATTGGCATACCTTGCATACCCTGCATACAAGACACCACCAACAACCATAACCGTCAGTTTGTGCATTTCTGCCCTTCCTTTTGTTTCATGATAAGCGTAGTGACTCGCCGAGATGCTTGTAATTATCGCCTCATATTCACATAATAATAGCGATTGCGAAATATTGGCGAGCGCTCTATCTTACCAACACTTGCTGCTCGAGTTTTTGCCTCGAGGCTTTCACACATGGACTTTCACAGAGCCCGATTTCAATATTTATGCGCGCTTTATTGCCTATTCGTAATACCATTAATGCCGCCAATGCCATTAATTAGCGTCAATTGTAATTCTCGATTGGAGCATTATAATACATAATTGCCGTTTTCGATACATTAAACATTCATATATTGACAATTCGACAATATTACGGACGCTTGCTTAGCCAAAGTTTTATACTATTTTCGGAAAATTCATAAATTCTAATTCATAAATATATATAAATATTAATATAAATATAAATATAAATATTCATAAATATAATTCATAAATTCATAAAATCTATGGACAATTTTAAGCTTTGCACAATTATCGCGCATTATAATGGTAGATCAAGATATTGTCCGTATTATTGCCGTAATTAATATATTCAGCATTTGGCGTATAAATACAGTTTTTATTAAATTTCAACAATATTAGCTGTGAAATATTGATTGAAATAAATTATAATTGTAATTGTTCGATAGGATAGAGCACGTGCAAACATTTCAAGAAATATTTTAATAAACATAATGGACACTTTTTTTTTTTTTTTTTTAATTATTAAAACAATTCCGTTTAATTTATCCGTTATACTTTTTACCGAATATTTTTGTTGTTTACAATACCAAACAATGAAAAGAGAAAAAAAATTACAAATGAAATCATTTTAGAGGTCTCGTATCGCTTAGGTCAATATTACAAACAAAAAAGAAGTATATGAAAAAAAATAAAATAAAAAATAAATAAATAAATAAATAAATAAATAAATAAAGGTAAGTCTGTCTAATAATTACATTTACCTATTTTTAATACAAAAAAAAAAATCATTCTTTATTAGTGTAAATATTTTCGCTTTATAGCCTCCGAGGCTTTTTAAACTCAATTAAATAAAACATTATCAAAAGAATATTGTCCATTAATTATTCAAATGTGTATTTATTATATATGTATACATAATGTCATATTTATTAAATGTAAAAAAAAAACAAAAAACAAAAAAAAAAAATTATTTTGAATCGTTAATGTATCATTTTGTTGCTTTCTTTCAAAAACTGTATAAACAATTAGAAATAAGAAAACTTGACGTTATTATTGCTATTGATCAGAAAATGTTTAAACGTTACATATAGAACATCATGCTAGGTGGTCCATGAACGCTTGATTTCAATTTATTTTATGCTTAAAAGTTATACACAAGTGTTAACTTAAACTAATTCTAAATATTACGTGTTGTGCCATAATCTACGTTCAAGAGTAATGCTACAAAGAGAAATCGAATATGCAGCAATTTTGTGCAAGCTGGGATAGTGCAATTATTTATATATATATATATATATATATATATATATATATATATGTAAAAGAAAAGAAAAGAAAAGGAAAAAAAAATGAAATCAAACTACTGACTACTGGTTAATTTTATTTATATATAATTATTATGATGGTTATGTAATCGACAAGTCAAAACATGATTCTCTATCGGATCTTACTTCCTTAACGTAAATCCTATTTACGATCGAATATTAAACGATTGAAATTGTTTGTATTTTATCTAAAGACCTTTCGCGCCTCATAAAATATACAATGCATAGAATTTTAATAATTACGATTACTTTGGGAATCAGGGATTATAGAACGAATCAGGAATTAAATTCTATTTCATTGTACACAATGTGAATAAGCACAAGAATTGAGAATACGGACATTTCAATTGACTTGTCGATCACAATATAAATTGTGCATCTTTTATTATGGTTACAAGGTTAGTAATAGTTTGACCATTTCACAACAGTTGCAGGTTTTAATGAAGTTAAAACAAAAACAAAAAAAAAAAAAAAAAAAACAAAAAAAAAACCAAAAAAACAAAACCAAAAAAAATGTGTTTTTGGTAGCTCACAGAGACTGAACAATTTACAAGAAAATATAGATATTTTAATAATTGATTAATCGCAATGGTACGATAAATGACGATAATTAAGTGGCAAATATTGTGTCTCGTTGGTATGAAAACTCACCAGCGGTGTAGGTTGGGGAGGGAAACCCATAGTAGTGGTCGAAGGAAGTTGCGTCATTCCTTGGCCCTGTAACAGCCGGTAACATGCCGTATGCTATGCATGCATTACTTTGCTATTTATGCGAATTATACGCATTTGGAGATTTTTTTTTTTTTTTTTTTTTTTCATCAGACTATCGAGGAGGATTCTTTCACTACGAAATTCTTTCATGACTTATTTGCCTTTAATTTGTCATTGTTATGGTAATGGTGATAAAAGTTACGCGAACTACCGAATAAACATTTCATTCGTGCTCTTTTGAACATTCGAACTTAGTCAACGCGCTTTTTATGCAAAATGCATAATTTACTTTTAGCATTCAATATACATAACCGTAAAGAGATTTATTATTTACTCGTTTTTGTTATAATCGTTTTTGTTAAAAGCGATAACCACAATATTCGTAACCATAAAACATCCGCAATTGCTTTAACTCGTGATTTCCAGCCTCATTTACAATAAATTTCCGAATACAAAGGCTTAAACAAATCTCCAACTGCATAATAAAACAAAAATAAATTTTACCTCTTAAAATATAAAGAAAATGCCAAGAAGCTTGCTAGGAGCAATTGTCGCCACGAGCTAATGCTAGTTTATAAAAATTCATTTAAATACTTGTGTATATAAACGAATATATTAAATGGCGGAATAATATAAGCTAAAATTTAAAGAAGAAGAAAAAAAGAACAACAATTTATTCTAGCCTATGTGATTTTGTAATTTGTATACGTATATCATTTTGCTAAGTGATCGTGTAGACCGAGTGCTTGAAATTCATAAAAGTCTTGACATCGAGAGAACGTGCTTAAGTAAGAGAGAAATCTTGGCTTTGTCGTCGGTGTAGGTGGTTACATTAACAATTACGAAAACTTACCATTGGACGATAACCAGCACCAGTTGTAGCTGCCATAGGTTGAGGCGTCCAGCCTGCAGTCCCACCGGTTTTAGCACTATTTTTCGGAGAGTTCCACTGCATACCCCTGTGAATTATAAATTCAACATTTAATCAAAAATCGCATCATTTTGGCAATATCGCTATTATTTTATATTATAAATAAGAGTTTGGAGATTTCAGACTATTGGCTTGATATTAAGATTAAAAACAATGTTAATGACGAATCCATCTGTTGTGAGGGAGCAAGGTTTCGGAATTGGCAAAGGTACCCGAGAAAACCTGTGGAAAGCTTGAACGACGGAAATATTTAATGAGAAATATTGATTATATATATATATATATATATATATATATATATATAATATAAGGAAGAGCTCGTAGTTTCAAAGCTTAATCAAACTTTCATAACCAAAGGCCAAAATTGGAAATTGATAATCGACGATCTAATTCATCTAATTCGAAAATATGATTTGCAATATTTATATTGATTTCTAGCGCAATGCCTATTAAATATACATAAATTGCATAGTATCTTAATTCTTAAAGGCAATAAATAATTCATCATACAGTATAAAAGATGGAAATTTTCTTCAATTTCAAACTTGCCTGCAATTTTTCAAAAATATTTTGATTTCACTTACGTTCACTCGCAACACTACGTGACGTGGCAACATTTCACTGTGATTATATTAGATAATTATAATAATATTATTGCAATCATTAGTTTGTATGTTTAAATTTTTTTTTTTGTTTTTTTTTTTTTGTGTATTAATCTGTTTTTTCCTACGAAAAACAAAGACTCGTATTAGTCGACAAAAAAAAAAAAAAAAAAAAAA